TACATCTACGTCACAATTAACTAGTAAACAAATTTTTAATCTAATTTATTACCTAAGATGTAATTTATATCTGATATATCATAGTGCTATAACTAAACTTGCGTTTGAATACTTTAATAAACTCGATCTTACTATACTAAAATTTTGAATGATATTATAATAAAATATTATCATATTCAGCAGAATAGCAAATATTCGTGTGATATTGCTGCGACACTCAAGGCCAAATTTAGGAATGTGGTGCTACCAGACAATTACAATTTGCCCCTCTCTATACCCACTCATCCTTACAATTTAGTATTTACAAACATTCATATTATATTCACAAGTGTTCCGATTACACCGAGAGGGCGAGAGCCGAGAGAATCTTAAAATTTAAAATTTATTGGCTCTATATTACTATAATAATTTATTATCACCAGTTTTTTGAAAAATGTTTAACAATTTTCTGGCGAAGGATTTTAAAAATCTAATGAATACTACAATGAGTAGAATTTMAARTTTAATATTAATAGATATTTTTATTTTAATATTATATTCATACAAGATATAACATTCCCGTCCAACTGGTTTTTTCGTTATTCTATACAAAAACAACAGAATATTATGAAAAATATTAATACTGGTTGAGTTAATTATTAGTATAGAATTATATTAATATTATAATTATAAGATGATAATAATTATTGAATATATAATCAATATAAACAAAATAAACATTTAATTAATATATTATAAATATTTATATTATAAGAATATTAATAATTATTATAATAAAAATGATCTAATTTTTGCTACCTAATAATCTAATTTTCTCAATTATATTTTTATTTTTTAAAGCATTTTTTTCAATTTATATATGACATGAATATTTTCTTGACTTCTATAAAAGTGTTTTCATAAAAAAACTGTATAGTTGATACTTGATGCACACATTATGAATATTACTTATCTAGTAATTTTACAGAAAATCATACTTCTTACAGCCATTGACGCTAAGTCTTTACATTAGCAATTAAATTTATAATTGTTATTATTGAGCAAAAATAAGATAGGTATTACGACTAAATATTATCAATAATACTTCTGTAGTTATGTCATATCTGCCATCAGGTGTAGTAGTGGATATGGAAAATTTATTTTAAAATAAARGTACTCGTGTGTTTATATTTTAACTTAATGTGTAGTGTACTAGTGTATGAGTGTAGTATTTTACCTAAAGATATAAATATTAAAATATATAATACTATAGTCAGTTAGTAAAAAGTGACTAAAGTTAGGTAACATATACTAACATCTATAACTACTTCAATCATTCAATGACTAACAATRTACTACTGACAAACAAATATAAAGTGTCGAGTACATAATGCAACATGCGCCATATATAATAAATATTTACCTACATAGCAAAATTTTCAAATTAAAAAGATTATAAGCTTAGAATATTTAATTAACTGCATTTAGCGAGTGTTGCCGATATTCGACTTCCTGTTATGTTTATCAGCTATATAATWATATTAATACATTATATTATTTATATTATATAAGTACACATTTTCATTACGCCGGTTGCACTTAGCTGTCCGTGTCACTCGACAGTCGACACGAGTCATCGTTTAAAATCACACTAAAATAGGTATATCTTAAGTATTCAACAACCTATATAATACGTATATACCAATATAGCTAACATTTATTACATAATAAATATAGACGTTTAAAAGGYTTTAGAAAAAAACTCAATGATGTTTTGAATCCAAAAATGCTCAAAATAACGTTCGGCTGTAATATATACGGTGAAATATACAAATTTCGGTTAAAGTGGATGGCTAGCGTTTGCGCTAAAAAATTTTCAAAAATTAGTTTAATTCGAGCKGTCCATTGATAATTTTAAGAAACRAACCCCTAATATACCTACCTACATAAATGCAAACTAGTATACTYRTATACTACATAGTATACATAGATACAATGTTATATTTTACTTAACCCTGAAGTGTAACTAACACATTCAAATATAGTAATGGTGTGCAAAAATCAATATTTTTAAACAACTAGCTAGGTCTATAAAACATTTCACCGCCATCGCTACTAAGTAATATACTTTGTTTCAAAGTATTATAATATTCGAGTATTCCTCATTAAATAAATTGTGCACCTATATGTATATAGGTACACAAAAAAAATGTTAAACATACATCATTTTTTTTTTCATTTATTAATTATAATTGTTTCAACAAAAACTCATATTGGCTTTCTTAAATTATATCAAATATTTTCAATTCTATGTTTAATATAATTAACATTATTTCGCACTAAGAAAAATTTTATCTTTATTTAAAATTAATCAACGAAAATCTCAATGACGAAACGATAAGTAATAATTTTTATTTTATTTTTTTTGCATACTACTATATTAGAAAAATAGAAATGTCACGGAGATTAATAATTAAAACGCGCTTTTTCGTTTAATTAAATTTGTTTTCGATATTTGTTTGCATTATTGCTTAATATTTTCCGTATTAGGCAAAATYGCAGGCCGTAGTCTAATCAGTGACTTCTATATTCACTTACTAATCGCTAAATGATAATATTTTAATGACCCTCAACTTCTGTACCTACTATCGTATTAAACATATTATTTTGTACATTTAATTATTCAAGGACRAGCACCATATAATACGTATCGTTGCYCGTTGGGCTAGATGTACGAAATGAAAGTRACGCACATTGTGTTAAGTATAATGAATAAAACTATTGCAGGACTTAAAACAATATAACGGCGATGAACGTTTGAATACAGCCTTTGCAGCCTTTTGCACATTTTATGCAACCTGATGAGAAATATGTTCTATTTACAGTTGTCAGTAACTAATTAAGACTAATTCTATCTTAAATTTCTGTATTAATTGTTCGTGRATATCATTGCGTCAATGCATCATYGGGTTATTGTGGTAGATACATGTACACGCGATAAGGAGGTTTGAAGTCACAGGATTTGAAGCTGACAAAAATAAATCGGAATTAATTAATATCAAAKGTAAAAAGTATTGCCATATAATCTGCTGTACTCTTAATTTATTGCATGAACTAAGAACTTTCTTAGTTCATGAATTTTTGTTGTACTACTCACACATATTCGTTGTATTYATATACGACCGTAAGTATTATAATGTTAAGTATCTACGGTTATTCGTTTAATGTTGCCTTTTGAGTTACTACAAATATCGATTTTTTCGTAAAAATTCCAGTTTTTTGATTTATTTCCGACGATTTTTAAAACAACTTTAAATTTTTACTTGCCCTCTCCTCCCCAGTACTACCATTATTCAGATTCCTGTACTAGAATAAAATGGAAAATYGAACACAGTTTTATTGCTATTTTTACCTAAAGGTGATGGCAGAAAAAACACTAAAATCAATGTACCTCACTCTGCACAGAATGAAAAAAATGCTGGAAATTTAAAAAAAACCGTTATTAATACGGAAACCAATAAAATTCTTTCTTATTCAACATCATTTTATTAGGAAGCAATTAATGGAATAATATCGTTCAAAGTAAGGGATAAAACTGCTATTCAAAATCAAAACATGCATACAATATTATTTTTAACTAAAAATTTAAGGAATGAATCTAAATACCTAATATAGGTATAAATTATGTTRTATAATCAATTTTCGTCATTCAGCCTACTATAAATAATAAATATAATTACATTTAGTTGAAATAAAAAAACATAAACGGATGATCAACAATAAAATCTATTCATCAGACGATATTGGAGTCTGTCTCAGWATAAATAAATGCAAACACAAGTACATAAAATCTAATGGTTTTATGTCGCAGTTATTTGCTGACCCTGTTAGATAACAGTATAACCCTTTGAGATGAATAAAACGATTTTCTACTATATATTTAAATTTAGTCTGCTAGTAGTAAAAATGGTTGAAATCAATGGCCGCGTAATTTGTATTTGGTTCTGCAGGGATAGGTACTATTATTGTCTTAATGGAGGTCTATGACCCCTACACCCTTTTGACCATTGCATTAATTTATAGATCTCATAWGTACTGTTATATTAATTTGTTGTTATAATTTAAATGAGGTAAAATATGGTATAATAATGATTATAAGATAAGTTATGTTTTAACAATGAGCCGTACAGTTTTCTTGTCAAATATATTATAACTGTTGAGGTAATACCGTAATTTTAAGTTAGTAAAATCAAAAAAAATSTCAACCAATGATAAATGTCCACGAATTCTTATTTATTATTTTAAAATCTTTAAATCATTTGAGGCCAAGCACGAGAATTCAATTACGGTTATTTAAAAAAGAAGGCTCAGTAGGGATATATCCCCTTACCCCCTCCGGCCACTATCCCCTCCCCTCAACCACCATAAATATGCCGTCGGTTGAAATATACAGGTTATAACACCAGGTATACGAAATCGCTGCGTAAAGGCCACGGACTCTTATGCCGGATCACGTGAAAAATGTATTGATTTAACGGTTCAATCGCGGGCCTCTAATATATATAATAAATCTTGACCACTATGTTCACTATTGATTCGTTAAACGACTAGTGATTATTCTTGCGACTCGGCGCGTAAGTCCATGGTAAGGTGTATAGAGCAAATCTTTGCTACACCGCGCGTGAAGAGATATTACAGATATTAATTTTTCTTATCGTGAATAATCCGATACGCTGGCACAGAACTAACAAATTCAAAATTCCCGCGCATATACATATGTTAGATTGTTATTGGTGATATTTCGGCCCTTAAATGACGTCAGGCTGCATCCATAGCATGAACTAAGATATATATAAGTATATCTTAGTTCATGATCCATAGCCATTGAACTATATAATAATATTATAATATAGTTCAAAGTCCATACTTCCATTGCACGATTATAGATATTGAATAATCCGATTGCATCAGCTATAGGAATAATATTATTATCTATGCCTCCATTACCTCCACSTGATTGCCTGCCTCCAGGCTCCAGTAGTAACTGACAACAACTTTACTGTTAGAGTGTTAACGTCATTCGACTCATTCGGCTACCTCCGTCCGTAATATCAAATATGAATGCCGTGTTTTCGTTGTTGGTAGTCGCTATATTATAGTTGATTTTGAACTTGTGATTTGTATTTTGTTATATTTTGTTAAAACTCGATTATAACCATATCATTATTGTCTACTTACTAGTATAATCAGACCAGTAGAAAATCCSGACTTGTAACGGTTTGAATCATAATTGAATTCGTGATCAAAAATAATTCGCATTTCAATGATATTTGTCGTGCTTTAATTGTTTGGAAATAAAAACTGATAGCCGTGTTCGTAATCTGTAACTTAATAAAAAGATATTGATTTGAATTTAAAAATATGGAGAGAAAGACCCGTAGGATGAAAATGAAGACTGTGGAAAGCTTAGTTTGTTTGGTAAAATCAGTGGAAAATCAACACACCACTATTGATTTACAAAACGAAACTTCAGTGTACGGATTTGTTAAAGAAGTTGATTGGTATTGCATAAACACTGAMATTTTTAGTTGGAAAATGAATATTTAAATACTTGTTAATATGCTTTATAGTGATATGAACGTGACTTTATGCGATGTTATTGTTACCGATCCAAATGGTAATCGATATTCTTGTGATAATTTCTTTTTAAAATCAAGATTGATACGTTATGTTCATTTATCTCAAACTGTAAGTTGAAATAATGACGTTAAATAAAAGTTAAAAATATTAACTTTTGGTGTTCTTTTAGATCGATATATTTCAAGCTATGAAAGATGTAATTAGAAAAACCTTTCCTGCTAGAGTTAAGAAAACAAAAACGTATTCCTTGAAGAAAAAGAAAACATTAGCTAGACAAGAAGAACTTAAAAGGGAAGTACAAAATATGAATAGTAAAGAAGGTTATAAATCCTAGTTACAGTATGCTAGTATTCATTATTAATTTAAGTTTTTTTTTCAACTGTAAATTCTTTGTAGATATGATTTAAACTATTCTTTCAATATAATATTTTAGATTTAGATTACATAGTTATACGTCAGTCATGGTATATTCTGAAGATACTATGTCAAAATATATCTGTGTACAATATTTTAATGTTTATAAAATAAATTAGGTATTAAAATTATTTTTGAAAATCTTTGAAAAATGTTATACCATTATTATAAATTTATGATTAACTTACATGTCCCAATCCGTAGAACTATAATCAAATTCTAATTCTACAAACATCTTATAGAAATTAAAGTGGACTGTACTTCRTACATCTATCAATATAAATTATTTATTTGAACAGTTCTAGTAGCTGCAGTATATTATGTTTAAGGTGCGTTCTTTATAAGTTGACATACCGTCAGCAATAATCATAAATAGGCTATATAAACAAGCGAGTTTAGCATGGACCGTGAACCCAGTTGTTAAATAGATATTGAAAAAAGGGAAATCATGAATATTTAGACCAACTAATCACATTGCTCAGAACCACCATAAAAATTGTCTCAGAAATGTCTTCAAAAAATAATTATACAGGAAGGATATTGTTTTAAATTATTTATGGGATATATTTCAAGTAATTTTTATATACAGGCAATGATAAACCAATTGGTAACCCTT